AATAATGTATCAATGAACTGTGTCTTTACCTGGCATTTTATTACTCCATGCTTCTTTGTCCTTTGTTATCTTCAAGCCTCCAATTGTTCATCATGGTTGCTGACATTCCACTAATAATGTATCAATGAACTGTGCCTTTACCTGGCATTTACTATCAATTATTGAACTTTAAGTTAGAAATGATACGATTACTATAATGATATATGTGGGATTTCAGGAGCGTAGGGTACATTTGATGAATGTAGAGAAGAAAAATATTGATTTTTTTAATAATGTACTATGTTTTTAGCATAAAAAAATTTCAAGCTCTCGCTACGCTCTTAGGAATTTCAGAGTATTAGGTGATTATGGTTGACGCTTAATATCTTTAGACAAGAAGTTAAAATCGGTTAATTCCAACATAGACAAGACATATGTATTGGAGACTGCAGTAATGTTTTGAAAATTTCCTAGCGAACGCATTAAAGGTATTTTTACATATAATCTTAATTTTTCTAAGCTCTAAATTTAATTTTATTTAAATGGCCAGTATCTGTCATTAGTTAACCTTCTGGTTATTATAGGTAACCTGCAGTTTTCTGGTTTTAGTCACTTTAAGATTACTTCTGCACTAGTGTAATAATATCCAGATTATTAAACATACAGTGCGATGGGCCTCGCACGTATTTTAACTATCACTTTTCCAAAATCGGATTCCAAACGCTTAATTAAAACCAAACCAAAACAAACCAAAACGAATATGAAAGATAGGATACCCATTTCAATCAATCTAGCTGACAAAACAAAAATAGCGGTTGCCATTGGTGGAAAACAATTTTAGAATAGAATCCTGGCTGGGAAATGATCCTTAAATTCCTGGCTGGGAAATAGAATATTAGTATAAATGCTGGCTGGGAAACCGTTTTTTAACGTATACTGATTCCTGGCTGGTAATTTCGATATTTTTTTTTTGCTGGCAGGCATTGGAGCGGATATTTTTTTTCCCAGTAAGGTTAATAATTAACTCTATTAGGTGTTAAAACACTTGCCAAGTTTTCTAGACGTCGTCCTGTGCAAATTCGCGAAACTGGTCCGTTAGTGACCAGCTAATCCCAATAACGTTGTTCAGTTGTAAAGACATGACAAGACAACAAAGTCATTTGCATATATCGTGTTTTTTTATTTCTTTGCGAGAACATTCAAGATAAAGCTCTAAAAGTTCTTTTTTATGCAAATGAATGTATTGTATTCATGTCTTTACAAGTGAACAACGTTAATGGAATTCCCTGTACGTCAATAACGTATATTTTTTAATGCTTTCAATATTTTTCAAATTGATAATCTATTTYTATAATTTTATACAAATATTAGTGAAAGACATGTAAAAACAAGAAATAAAAATCACACTGTACAGTAAAAGTCTGACATTTTGCATAAAGGCCAGCTGGCTGGAAGAAAATCAGAAACAGTAGGAAAAAAACAATGATTACTCCTCTTGGTTTTGAAATTCGTTGAATTTAAATGTGTTCGTCCCTTCTGTCTCTGATTCTATTGTTTTGTTGTTGTTGTTGTTGTTTTCATTTGTTTGTGTGTTTTTAGTGTTTTTATGTTTACATCGTAGCGTGAACCGCACCACCTTGTCACTATATACGACCGCAATAAATTGAATTCTGACTGAATATCAATAAATCATTGATTTCCACGAAGCAAAAGTACTTTTTACACTGCCTTTTGTCCAAACTTGTCATATAGGAGGCTACTTGATACATAAGTCAAAAACCGGTTTTTTAAACAGGTTTTAGGGGTTTTTATGATAAAGATCATGTGACTTCCATGTGCACATCAACGATTGAAATCAACACACCCCATCAATGACTTCTGTGATTCTGTACTTATAATAAAATCAAATTGCGCYGAACTATCTTTTAAAGGTAAGAGCAGAGCTAAGGAAGGTCTTCATTTGCTTGTCAGAGAATCTCAGTTTAGAATCCCATTCCCAGAAAGAAAATCTTAAAGAACAGTTATAAAGTAGAACAAAAGTTGTAGCCTTCTCCTGCTACAAGATTATACAAGATTACAGCAACCACATGATATCCAGAAGAGACAGACATATCTAGACCTATATCTAACAAGATTCTACGCTGCAGTCTTCTATAACAATATGGTCATCCATTCATGACTGTTTCCAACGACTGATACTTAGTTAATATATTCTGACATAATCTGCGTTTATAGTTTATTTGGGAAACACCCCGAGCCATTTGACTAGTCGTCAGTACATTGCCTTCGTGTTAGCGCATCAGACTTCAAAAGAACAACTCCCATCTGAAGTTCATCTTTAAGTCTTCGTGAAATATTGTTTGATCAGACATCAATATAAAAGGTACAGTATGGCAATACAAATTTGAATTTAGTTGAGTAAATCTTAATACAAGACAAATACAGATAGAGAGGTTTTGTCCATGGTTATNGCGAACAACAAAAAGATGAAAAAATATTCGTTTTCCCTTTTTCTCCAAAATAATAACAGCGATTTAAAGAGAGTTTCCTCGATACTTGCAAAGAAATTGAAGTAATCTTTCTAGAAAAAGATCAGTAATTAATTTAAAGTTCTCAATCATGTCTGAAACTGTTTTTGTTATTTGTCTGAATTAAAAAGTATCAAAAACTTATGGCTTCAAATAATCTGGAACGACGCATTGATATATACAAAATGATTTTTGCAAAATTAACTTCACTAATACTTTTCTGCTTACAAATATGTTTGGATAGTGTGTTTTTATATTAGAATTAGGACGAAAAACGTTTAAAACTATTTTAGGCCCAAGAATTTTCATTAACGATGGACGCATTGAACAAGAACGAGTGAACTACACTACAAGAAGATTAGAGTAAAACTAAACACAACATGAGCAAAGTACATGTTTTACATTAAGCTCGTTATAGACTGATAACTTTGGACATTCTGATAGAGCAGTGTTGTTGAAAAATCGCGATTATATTTACTGTTTCAATGGCGGAAATATCAAAGCAGATAAAACTATTTAAACTATGCAAGTCAATATCTCAGCGAAGTGTTACCATTTCAGAATTTAAAGAAGTGCTGCTGACAAAGACATTTCCCTCGTATTAGAAATATACTTCCAAATCAAGCATTGGAACAATCGAATCTTTCAAAAATAACACAAGGTGAGACTTATTTTTACTTAAGGCCCGTTTACACTTACGATTTTAGAAGCGCCATTGTCGCGCGCGACAGTCGCCTGAGTTTCAAACATGCTTGAAATTTAGCTGCAACTTCGCGACGATTTTCAATCACCGCAAAAATCGCAGGGCTGTTTACGATTTTAGTTGCGCGATTGTCAAAAATCGAAAATATAAACAATGTTTTATGATTGTGATAATGCTTATGTCGATGCTTTGTCATTGATTTGATTGATTTTCTGGTTGGGTTTGAGTCTTAATCTAAACGCATCAACGTTTGATTTCAGGTGTTATTTCATCGTGTAATAGCTTTGTTATTTTAAGATGTTTTTTTTCTATCGATCTTAATCTTAACGCATCAACGTTTGATTTCAGGTGTTGTTTCATCGTGTAATAGCTTTGTTATTTTAAGAT